AAGCGGAGACCTGTAGGGGCGGTTTGTAAACTTGATAATTTATGGGAGTATCACTTTTCTCATAATCTCTATTTTCTCTGAAAATGGCATGTGATGTCGTTTTAGATAGCCAATCTGTCGAATGCGATTCATCTGAGTCACCGATGCAAACGGTTCTTTGATCTAAGGTCTGCTTAAATTGCGTTTCGGTTGCTGGAGTTTGGTGTCCCGTTCTGAACACCGAGTATATGCGTCGGATTCTATTGGCACTGAAAAACCGCGCAAGCTGATCAGCGTCCTCCCTCTTTCCTGATTCATATCTATCTGGCCTCCATTTACAAGATGCCCTACCTGCTAACATAGAAGAGGATTCTGTTATCTCAGCAGGGCTTTCGGATTGGGCTACTATTGTTGGTGATATGATATTATAGTTATTTTCATATGCACATCTAGTATCTGGCATCGTATCTCGTGCTTCTGAATTAGATTTGATATCTTTTTCTACGATTTCATCAAGGCGATGCGAAGTTGGATAGGCCAGTCTAGGACCAAGTGGTTGCTTGGGAGCGTTTAGGATCAGACGGCCTTCTGGAGTGATGCGCAAATATTTTTGCAGGCGGCGAGTTTGCCGAATATATCGCAGGCGGCAATCAAGAAAGGTTTCCAGGAAATCGGGTTTTCCAACAGGAGACTTTATTCCGTGTGTCTGCTTTTCACTTTCCAATAGTATCCCGCTCTCACTAGGTGGAACAAGCAGAGGTGTAGAGGCAGATGAGGGTAGGCCGGTACAATAAACTCCATTAGGAGAAATACGGCTAAATCCGTCAGTGACATCAACTGGTAGATCATGTATCCCGGATTGTTGAGGCTTTCTTGGATGATCGTTCGGCCGAGGGCCACAAGGGATACGAGTTCTAGTCGACTCCATTAAAAGCAATAATGAAGAAGCTTAGGTTAGATGGTACACTAGCACAGACTTTGATAAATACTTTAGCCACGAGGTCGCAGTAACCCACCATTTACTAGTAAAATGGCACTCATAAAGTTATCCAAGCCGGTAAAGTTCGATAAAGCATTAGTGGTGTAGCGCTTAGCGAAACATTTTTAGAAGCATTTCCCACTACGCCGAGTGTGGCTGGCTAAATATCGTCGTTCACGAAGCAGAGCACGAGTGGATTTGGCGGACGCTGTAGGCCAACCAAAACGGCCAATACCCAGCGAGCAATAATTGCTCCAATCATCATTCACTTCTAAAATGTCCAGTAA